TGAATAGCTGTAAAAAGCATGAATTAGCTCAACAGAGTTTTAGTTTTAAACTACCGTAAATAGTTTTTTATTTTGACTTTTAGCGTACCGAGTTTGATTGACAATAGAAAATTGGTAGGGCGACGATTCGTAACAGTCAACAATTTGGAACCAGCGACAATTTATAATAAGCGACATTTCGCAACAAGGCATTGGTCAGAAAGATACGCTTGCTCCGCTTCGCCCCGCTGTATTTAAAATCAGCACGAGAGGAATACTGCGCGTGAATCAATGTTGCCCGCTTAATCTATTGATACGAATTTTCGCATGAAGCGAATTGAAGCCTGTTACGATTTAACGCCTGCTGCGAACTTTTGGCTCACATATATAATTGTTAGAGTAAAATAGTTCATTTTATAAAACACAAGTTCAACAGCTTTATAAACAAAATGTAAAAGATATTTACCAGGACTTAAAAAAAGTAAAACACTCGAAACTGAGTTGCTTTCCCCCACCTGCAAAAATTTTCCTTTCCCCCACCTGCAAAATTTTACTAATGAAAAACTTGTTACATTATTCGCTTTTTATGAAAATTGGCATAAGGTCTAATCAGGCCATGGAAAACATATTTGGTGTTCATAATTAACTTTGTAAAACCACTCGTTACACCGTAAAATTGAGCGTGTGAGGTGAGGGGGAAGAAAAAAGAGCCCATATTTGCAATCTTTGCATATGTGACCCGATAGTTTTGCAAATGATGCAATGGGCCTTTGTGGTCGAAGTCTTTTTGAAGTCACGGGTCAATGATTGCAGTATTCAATTTTTAATCCACGTAGTTACTATGCAGCACAGTATTAAACGCAAATAAAGACTCGGTATGAACTTTTGTTGAGAAAACATTCTTTTATTAGCCGGAAACCTTTTAGCGTTATTGAGCTTCAATCAAAAGCTTGCAGAATTTGAGAATATGAGAACTCAAACCTTAAATCATGGCCTTTTACGGAAAGAAACTGAACTTGAAACTGAAACCATGTCATCAAAAAAATGTTATCGCAAAAAAAACCGCGTTAAATCTGAAATAAAAACTGTGTTATATCACACAAGTCTTTGAAACACTGTTTTGCACGCTGATTAGAAGCAGCATACCGACAATTTTCAATTAGGTTTTTTATTGAATCTTTCTGATTGAAGCTTACCGCCTTCAAGCATGCGTTTTAGTCACCAGGAAACGAAAGAAAAGTCACAAACATTTATAAGTTTTTGTACATTACCAATTAGCAATTTCATTTGGATTAGTTTTTGTTTAGTTTTTACTAATGAAGAACAATTTTTTCATTAGAGAAAGTTAGCTGAACAACTGGAAAAAAATTTCTATAAAATCAGAACATTTTATTAAAGTTTTTGAGTATTCCCCCCATTGGTTCTTCAATGTTAAAAAAATAAATGATTAACCTTACATTAAATGGTTTTTTACCTTATAACAAATCCTCCTTACCAAAAATAGTTTTTTAGTTTGACTTTTAACTTACCGAATTTGATTGACAATGGAAAATTGGTAGGGTGACAGTTCGTAACAGTCATTAAAATACTCTATAATTACATACATAATTATTAGAGTAAAATACTGCATTTTATAAAATACAAGTTCGTTAGCCTTATAAACAAAATGTAAAAGACATTTACGAGGGCTTAAAACTAAAATACTTGAAACTGAGCTTATGCATCGTCAGTTTATCATAGTACCTGAAATATAAAAAAGTAAACATTTATACTAAAATGAAAAGGTCTTCAAGGTTTTTTTTTACTATACAAAAGTTATGAAAACCCCTTTGAGAAAAAAAAGAATTTTGCTTCATATCATATTTTGCTTTAAAGCGCGGAGAAACACAAAATCAAAAATGTAGATCACTGTAAAAAAGGAGAAAAAATCAAACCACCTTTTAAATCATTGCCTTTTTGGGAAAAAACAGAACTTGAAACCATGTCATCGAAAAAACATTATCTAAAAAACAACTGTGTTAAATCTGCACGCTGATTAGAAGCACGCTGATTAGAAGCAGCATACCGACAATTTTTAATTAGGTTTTTTATTGAATCTTTCTGATTGAAGTTTACCGCCTTCAAGCATGCGTTTTAATCATCAGGAAATGAAAGAAAAGTCACAAACTTATATACGTTTTTGTACTTAACCAACTAGCTATTTCATTTGGATTTGTTTTTGTTTAGTTTTTACTAATGAAGAACAATTTTTCAATTGAGAAAACTAGCTGAACAACTGGAAAAAAATTCTAGAAAATCAAAACAACTTATTAAAAGCTCTGCAGAATGTTTTTGAGTATCCCTCTGTGGTTCTTCGATAAAAATAATTGAATAACCGTACATTAAATGGTTTTTGTTCCTTTTTACAAATCCTCCTTTTTGTACAATGGGGGCCACCAATTAAAAAGATCCACTCTGTATGCTATTTATTCTGATTGTTTTAATTAATGGGGCGCGTGTTTTACCTGATAGCTTAAGTCCAAACAAGCTCATGAAGGTTATTCAATTATTTAGAATGTATTGAGAAAGTAAATGAATTTATGGAAGCAACCCTGCGCTCCTTTCGCGGCCAAAGTTTTTTTAAAAAAGAAAAAAATTAAAATCCGCGCACTGAAAAATTTGAATTAAATCGAATTAAATTTAACTCATACAAATAATAAGCAGTATAAAATGGGTTTACGTTAGCCCATTTATTTACCTCAATCGAAATTGGGATGGATCTAATTTGAATGGATTTTCTCAACATACTTGAGCCCATCAAAATCTCAAACACATTGATTTGATTTAAGTCTTATTTTCTTTCAAAATGAGCAAAATTTTGCACTCAAAAAATAACCATCACAATTGCAGAGAGCTAGAGTTACTCCAGGAGAAATTTCCTAACACAAACTATTGAGTTCAAGGAAATGAATTTAAAATTTGGCAATTCTGAAGGCTCCCGCGATGATGAAGACAAAAAATTATTTAACAATCATTTTCATTATCACCGTTCTAGGCAAATTTTTTTGCGCAGATAAATACATAATTGGTAAAACTCAAATCAAACTTTTTTTCGAAGCAGAAAGCTTACAAATTCATTATACTCATACTTTCTTTTTAGGCCAAACATCAGCACAAAAAGTCAATAGAAAAGCATGCGTTATAAGAGTATTTTTAATTTTTTCTATTGTTTGATAGTCGAAAAAACCTGAACATAATTAATATATGTAAAATCTTTATAAAACTTTTTCACAAAAAATGAACGAAACTGATTTAATTTCGTTTTTTTTTTCTAAAATCTATTTGTTAATGAAAGCAAAAAACACCAACAAAAATTCAAGCTGATTCAAAATTGATGTATCGAATTTGGTCAATTTTTGTAGGTTTTTGCTACCTTGTTTAAATGTTGAAAACGTTGTCCTGAATGTTTTTCGTTACAAACGATTTAATGATCTGGAATCTTCGTTCACACTTGTTAATCTAATTAAAGCATGAGGCCAAACTCCGTAAATAAAATGGTTTCTCACGAAAATGACAAGATTTTTTTGACGGAATTTTTTGTTAAGCTATAACAAATGAACTTAACATTAATTTTAAATTCTGCCTGCTCAACGCGCATTAAAGATTTTCTACAAATCAATCATCTCAACCAAACCAAATTGGCAATTGTTTATGTTCCATACTTTACACAACTTTGAATTCTTTCAAAAATTTTTGTTAATTATGTCAAAAAATCATTTCAAGTAAAGCGCCGCAACGAGCACAATATTCTTTTTTATTTGAAAATTGCAACAATAAGCTGGATAGTATTTCAAAATCAATCAATTTATTAAAAAATGAAAAATATGCTACCTAGAAAAACAATAGAATGTTAAAACATTATTATAATTGGAAAAATCAATTTGGAATACAATTTAAATCAGACCTGTTACCTCGATGTTTAAAAAAAAGATGAATTCTTGGAAAAAACGAGTGACCAAAAGGCCTTCCCTTTGACGTCGTACGTGCTTTCCTTCTGGTAGTTGAGAATCCGTTGAAAATCACACAACCTACGCCAGAATTTTTTCCCTCATCATGATCTGGTAAAACAAACCATGGTTGCTCCACCTATGAAAATAATCATCAAAAATAAGAGAACAGACAAAACTTTTGAATAATTGTCGACTTTTTAGTCAACTATTAGTTAGTTAGTTAACCAATTTAGTTTCATTTTAAGTAACAAAACAGAAAGAAGGAAATATAATCAAATTTGAAATGCCCCACACTGCTGCCGTCAAATATTAAATTTTACCCAATACATCCGGCAAAATTTGAGATTTTAAACCTGGAACGTTTCTAAAACTCAAACGCTTCTCAAAAATGTTCCCAATCATTTTAGTTTGGGGTCTAAGGATAATTAGAAGTCCTTTTAGTAGCAAAAAAACCTTGTTCTGTTTGATAGCAATTTTCCACTCTTCTTTTCAATAAAGTTATGCGCAATTTTTTTGTTTATAAAACATTTCAGTTTTGGTTTACTTTTTGAGTATCTACTTAAAAGTTTTATTAGAACCTAAGAAAAATTTAATTTTTTAGATTGCTTATGCTCATCTCTTTTCTACGCTCAATGAGACTCGATGGCATGAAACCAGTTTAGCAGACAAAAATCACTAGTTGTAGTTTGCAGCATTTTAGTTCGTGCATTTTATTGTGTTCAATTTGAATACATGAGCTTTTGGTTTTAACCCTTTTAGAACGAACGCATTTTCTCTGATTCTGGAACTTTTGTTCAGACTCCCAAAGAAATTACCGAACTTGTTTTCAGTCAGCTTTCAGAGATCAAAAAATAGTTTTGAACAAAAGTTTTTACACCATATTGAAGATATTTTGTCTCTTGAGTTCAAATAAACAGAGATATTTTACCTCAGATTTATATCTAAGACACGATTTACCACTCTCGTTGTTTTAAAAGGTGATTTCTAAAATTTTTTTCCATAAAGTGACAATTTTAAAATACTGAAACTTACTCGGAAGGCTGCCGGCGAGAAAGAGATTTGAGACCAAGAAACACAGCAACAGAATCTTCCGATTCACTCTCACGGAACTACAAAGACGGAGTAAATAATGGAAGTTGAGACCATTTTTACATAGTCCGGTTGGAAATGAGCTATTGTTTTTCTCAGAATTTTCCATATTAGGAAATTATCAGTTAATTCTCAATTGTAAATTTAGCTCTAATATAAATAACTTCAATTTTATATTTTTGCACTATTAAATCTGAACGAAAATATCAAAACAGGTTTTTTGGATTAAGGAATTTTTCGTTGGAATTACAATAAAGAATTAGTTCTGGTGAGAAAAGTAGAATTCGAAAGAGGTGTTATTAGATCAAAGAATTGGAGCTCGTTCCAGACATCAATTGAAAGGGTTCGCAGACTAATAAAAAGACATCAGATATAAGACCCATTATGATTTATGAAGCTACCGTAGCTATCATATATATGTCCTCCCATTTTTTTATGAAGTTGCCCGTTCGAATGAAGGTAGAAGTACTATTTCAAAAAGAGTGTTGAGAGTCATAAATAATTTAAAATTTTCACAAACTGCAGATGAGCTTTTTCTGAAATGTATGAAGCATGAAGTTGCTTTGATTTTTCGATTCTGCTTTTCTCAATTCAACGCTCCTCCAATCAGAAACAAAATGCTGTGCTGTACCATTTGGGAATTGACATGTCATTTGTTACGGAGAAAAAAAAAACAAAAAAAAAATTCACGGAGGAAAAAAGGAACCAAAACACATTTCTTACGTCAATTTGCGAATATAAATCATCAGCAGTTGCGCGCAAATAAGGAATAAAATTAAAACAGAGTAAGTTTTTACGAGGAAAAAGAACCCCCAAAATGATGTTTATTGCAATTGCATCTAGGATTTGTTTCGATCTAAGCTTCCATACTTTTTGTTGTTCATATTTCAGAAAATTGGCTTTTTAATTAAAAACAAATGCGATCTATATTGAATTTACGCCATAAAAGGCGGTGCTTCAATGGTGCATGCCGTAAATATAGCTATTGGGACTTCTTCAATTTTCAATTTTCAAGGGATTTTTTTTGTTGCCAACTGGTTAAAAAAACCTTTCTTGAACCCTGGTCGGGTCTAGAATCTTCACAGGGGAAGGAATTGATTCCTAGAAAAAGGAAAAAACTTTCGCGAAAATAAATCTTCGAACTTCAATTGAAGTCTAGCAAATTGACCCTCATTATATTGACTTTATTTTGAAAAAATGTTTTCAAATTTTTAAGGAAAAAAACACCAAAAACCACGTTTTCAGTAATTGCAACTGTTATGTCTGTAGCATCTTGAATAAGTACGTCGTTTTGCATATTAGGTAGTAATAAATATTAATAAGCATATCTTCTTTGAGCAGCCCTTGTGTTCCGAGGAAGGTGTGCCAACTTTAAACTTTTAAAATGATAACAAACTATCAGAGCCTTTCCATTAATCCAGAGTACATCAAGAACAAATGCTATTGTGCCGACAAATTAATTAATAAAAAAATAAAGGGAGGGAGTTTTTGAATTAGAAGTTGTCAAAAATAAACATCAACAAAATGCGCTTCACCAGCTTTTCGGTACAAAATGATTTGAATCTTTTAAAACTGTGCGGAATTTAAAACATCAGCTCAGAAAATTCAACTTTTTTCTAAATCTCAACAAACATTGACTGCAAAACTGTACAAGAAATTTGAATAATGCTTGCTCAAGAAGCAAAAAATCTTCGTTCTGAACTAATAGGTGCGCAATTTTTTTGTTGCTCTGGCTTTATTTAATTTTCTAAAAGAGTTTTGATAAATGTTTTCTGGTTGTCTTCAGAAATGTAATTCATTTTCACAGCCCACAAACGCGGATAGAATTTTAAAAAATTTCTGAATTAATCCATTCTACAACCGAGGATTGATTGGGATTTACTTTTTTAAAAAATCTCCAGATAGCAGAAACTACAGCATTGATTACAAAAAAATTTGCCCCGAAACTACAAAAAAAAATTAAATTTTCCCCATACAGTAGCCAATTTGGGGGGGGGGGGGGGGGGGGAGCAGGCGTTTTTTTATCCTTCAGGTATTAGACCCCCTGCCGACCCAAAGGGTCCCCCTCTTGTACTATTTTGAGATATCCATTTTCCATTTTTGGAAACGGACCCTAAAATTTTTCTAAAGGCGCCTTGGGCGCCAAATTATACTAATTTTGAGAGGGGAGCGCGCGCCAAAAAACCGCGATTTTTTGGTCAAAATTTTCCAAAAAGTGCCTGAAAACGTTTTCTTACCTTTTTCAAAAATTTCCTTGCGGAGCAGAAAATTTGGTCAAATTAGAGACTTTAAAGTGATTTGGGAGGGCTCAGAAAACCAAGCTCCTAAAAAAAGATCGACAAAATTTTCAAAATTTTTTGAAAATCCGCCGATCCCCCCCTCGAGAAATTCGTGGATCCGCGCCTGCCCCTATACCAGGTCTCTTTGTCAATTCCTAGTGAACTGATGAAATGCCATTTTCTTGCGTTTCACCAAATAAAGTGAATTCAATTTAATCTAAAACATCTACATCGATAAACTTCGACATAATTTTGCACATCTCAACTAACATTAAGTGCAAATGGCAAGAAGAGATTCAAATGCACTTGTTTTACTTGCTATTAGATATCTAAAACGGCGATTCCTATTGTTTAAGGATAGGCTGAGATTTAATGTGTTCAACAATTAATTAAAAACGGAATCTTAAACTTTTGTCATATATAAAAGTTCAACTAACACCTAGTGATAACGGAAAGAAAGTATTGTGAAATATTGTGCAAAAACAAAAAATTTTCTTAGCAGACTATTCGATATTACTATGATAACAATGTTTTGTTATTTTACCTTATTTTTGTTGTTTATTATTTATTGGTTAACTTTGGATGTGTGGTGAATGTTCCCAAGAACGTTTTTATGATTTCTGGATTTAGAGTACAGTAAAAATGAAATAACTTAGAATGGATTCTATACTAATTCATTAATTGACTGATAGGGTTGTGCGCCCACTAGTGAAAAAAGTCAGCTATTTGACCTTGAACTGAGTTTGTTTACTCAGTAATTTCAGATTTGACAGGATTGGACTAAAGATTTTTTTGAAAAATTCTCAAAAAATCAGCATAAAGTTATCAATTTTATTATTACAAAAAAAATCTGAATAATCAGAGTCACGCCTTGAAGCCAGCTGAAAGAAAATTAGGAGGAAAAAACCCACTGAACATATTATCGTTTTGGGAAGCTCGCACGCCGGAGCTGCCGACATACTGGGAGGAATGGATAATAAAATGCCATTGGCGAATGATTGCGAAATATGAAACCGATCCCGATGGTTTTTATTTTGATGATACTTTAGATGCTAGGGCGATTGCAGCGCTACCGGGGAAGTCAACGGGAAAATTGAATAGACGCGGAGAAAAAGTTAAAATCTAACTTGTGCCTTTGCATTGGGGATGAAGCACAGAGGATACTCAAAGCACGTAAACCGGCGGTCAGCATCAAAACGGAGAAGTACCCACGGATATTAGACGAAATGCAAAACGTATTCAAACGAGAGCAAAACGTCACACGTGAGAGAGGATTGTTTTACGCAGAAAACAGAGGGAAAATGAAACGTTTGAAAAATTCCATGCGGAATTGAGTGCTTTAGCCGGGAGGTTTGATTTTGCCAACGCTGCCGAAAATATTTGAGACACTTTCATCATGAATATGCACGAACCCTAATGTCAAAGAAAACTGTCCCGATCTACCAAGTCTCCAGAGGAGGTATATCGAATAGCTTTATCGTACGAGAGAGGTGAACGCGCATACAAATCCTATACGGGAAAGCCGTCCTCGTCAGCGCCGCAGATAACCATTAAACAGGAGCCAAGTAAGTAATATTCGGAGAGCAAAAAGGTATTTTAGAAGTCGAGCACGCGGGGGACGCGGGGGATATACGCCGGGCGCAAACAATGTTTGGAATGGTAACCGCCGGTGTTACAATTGTAACGCACCAAATTTTACTTTGGAACATATTGCAAATTGTCCTGCGAAAAGAGTAACGTGCAATGCGTGTCGGAAATTAGGGCAGTTTGAGCGCACATGCAGGGGTGTTAGGCGACGTACTTACCATTGGAGGGGACGAGGACGAGTAGGATTAGTCAGGGAGGAGAATGAGCATCACCAAAGCACAGACAGTGTAGACAAATGCAGGAGGACCAAGTAGCCTGGGTAAACCAGCAGCAGGGGTGCGGGGAAAATAGATCGATCTCATCGGGATCTGATGACCACATGGTGATGTCAATTAGGAAAAAGAACGCGATAGAGCTGAAGATTTCGAGTGGCAGAGTCAAGGTTCAGGTTTCGGGGAAGAAAATGTGGCTTTGGGTGGACAGTGGATCTCCCGTGACAATTTTCAGCGTGACGGACCTGAAAACAACATTAAGTAAAACAAACTTACAACAACAACCAACACGAGAAGATTTTTTTGACTACAATAACAACCGAACACACATATTGAGAAAGATAGCAGTGACAATGGCGCTAAACGGTTGGGTTACACCAGCGCACGTGTCAGTGATTGCAGGTAGCCATAAATCGATCCTTGGGCGCGATCTGATGGGTACCCTAGGACTGGAACTGGTGCAAAGAGAGCAGTCAGAAGACAGAGGAGCTCGACGAATTGCAAACGTTCCTCTGAAAGTTGTATCCAAACTTATTTACCCGAATAGGGAAAATACGAATCGCTAAAGTCAGAGCAGATTTTTTTGACGTATTAAAACCAGTACAGCAAAAGGGATGTCGGGTGCCAATCAGTCTACAAGACAAAGTAGACAAGGTAATAGATCGTTTGATAAATGAAGGACACATTATCAAACTGCAAGAATGTTCAGATAAGCATTTCGTGTCCCCTAGAGTAATCACAGTAAAAAAAAAAGAACTGAGCATAAAATTGGCGTTGGAATCAAAAGAACTCAACAAGCAGGTACAGAAAAATAAATACATGATCCCAAATAACGACGAGTTAGTAGATGGGATAAATCAAATAATTGTAGAACAAAAAGCAGTGGATGTATATTTTACAACACTGGATTTTACGTAAGGCCTATAAGTATCGCTCGATCAAAAAACCAGCAGTTTGTCGATGGAAAATCAACGGGAACGTATTGCTTTAAAAATGGATTCTACGGTGTCACGTCAAAGCCGGCGGAGTTCCAAAAAGTTATCGATTACTTACTTAAAGAGTTCCCCAAAGCAAACGCATTTATAGAATTTCTTCTAATCGCATCCAAAGAAACTACAATAGAACAGATTGCATTAGTCGAGAAGATTTTAAAGAAGATGGATGTATCAAACGCCGCATTAAAACTACGAAAATGTGAAATTGCAAAAACAGAATGTGCACGGCTAGGTTTCCGAATCGGAAAAAAACGGCACTACACCGTTGGTTCGTAAAGCCCAAGCAGTTGAGAATTAAAACCACCCAAATCAAGAAAACAACTAAAGTCATTATTGGGTTCTATGCACAGTCTGCATAAATTTTTACCAAAACTCGCCGAGGTCAGTGCACCGCTACGGCCGTTACTAAGCCTAA